GGATGGTGAGGCTCAAACAGGCGACAAAAAATAGGATCAAATGAAATATTTAGACAATCAAATGCTAACAAACAGATCTATTTTTATTCACATTCTCTTATTATTTCCTCTTAGAATTGAAATATCTTTGCTCTTACTTATTCACATTTTCATAGTAAACGATTGTTTGAAACGAAGAAGATAATTAACATAGTACCTAAAATAGGGAGAAAAAAAACTTGGTATTCCTACAACTACGTTCTTTGATTCTTTGTTTCTTTCTTCTTTGAAACAGATTCCGAATGCATTTTCGCTAATGATAAAGTCAACGATGTCGTCAAGACTCCCGTGTGATATAATACGTGTTCTTATACTCACCATTGCTCTGTTGAGCCACGGGTCCACTAGCTCAAAATTTGACAGACATAGCCAATCTCACACAATCAGACACATGAACATTAATGAGGACCAGGCACAGGTCATCGACTTCCCGTTTCGGAACACCAGCTTGCCGTGGAATGAGCGCGTGGACGATCTTGTGTCCAGACTGACTCTGGAGGAGATTCAGGTACAGATGTCTAGGGGTGGGGCTGGAGATTTTGGAGGTCCAGCCCCGCCTATTCCAAGATTGGGCATTGGGGCATATAACTGGGACACAGAATGTTTGCGAGGTGACGTACAAGCTGTAGAGAATGCAACGGGTTTCCCTCAAGCTATTGGTTTGGCAGCCACTTTCAGCCTGGATATTCTGTACAACGTTGCCAGGGCGACTGGTCAAGAAGTGAGAGCCAAATACAACGACTTCATTAAAAGGGGCATCTTTGCTACCCACACAAGTGTCAGTTGTTTTAGTCCGGTCATCAATATCTTAAGAGATCCCAGGTGGGGTAGGAATCAGGAGACGTACGGCGAGGACCCTTTTCTAGCCGGTATTCTGGTAGAGAATTTTGTCACTGGTATCCAGGGTGACAACTCAAGGTTCATAATGACTAGCGCTGGATGCAAACATTTTGACGTTCATGGAGGGCCAGAAAACATACCAGTGTCAAGATTTTCCTTTGACGCTATCGTCTCTGACACAGACTGGAGGATGACGTTTCTGCCCGCCTTCAAGAAATGTGTAGAGGCCGGTACCTACAGCGTCATGTGCAGCTACAACAGTGTGAATGGTGTCCCAGCATGCGCTAACAAAAAGCTGCTAACAGACATCCTGCGTACAGAATGGAACTTCAAGGGCTATGTCGTCAGCGACCAAGGTGCCATCGAAAATGTCATTTGGCAACATAAATATTGCAACAATAGCGTAGATGCTGTGGCGGCCTGTGTTAACGCTGGTACAAATCTGGAACTTTCAAGTAATCTCCCAACGCCGGTATATATGTCTATGATGGATGCTATTCAACAGGGAAAACTGTCTGAGGATTTGGTGAGGGAAAGAGTCAAACCACTTTTTTACACACGAATGAGGCTCGGGGAGTTTGACCCGATAAAGGATAACCCTTATGCCCAGCTGAGTATGGATCAGATCGAATCTGCTGAACACCAACAGGTGGCTGTCACAGCCGCTATGAAATCTTTCGTGCTGTTAAAAAATCAGGACGGCATTTTACCCTTGAAGAAAGAGGAGTTTAGTGAAGTCGCAATCATAGGACCAATGAGCGATGACATAACACAGGTGATGGGTGACTATGCCCCTCAACAAGACCGATCGTTTTCCACAACTACTTTGGACGCAGTTAGGGCTCTCTACCCCAACGCAAAATACGGACAAGTATGCAAAGACAGCACGCCGTGTACACAGTACAATAAAGCTGCCGTACCTGCAATAGTGAAAGATACGGAACTTGTGTTTGTCGCCCTGGGTACTGGTCAAGCTGTTGAAATGGAGGGAAAAGACAGGCCGGATGTCGAGCTGGCTGGACACCAAAAGGAACTTCTTTTGGATGTTCTAGACAACAGCGGTGACGCTAAGATCATTCTGCTTCTCTTCTCTGCCAGCCCCCTCAACATTACGTTTGCCGACCAGTCAGACCGCGTGGTAGCCATCATGGAATGTTTCTTTCCCGCACAGTCTACTGGGAAGGCCCTGTACAATGTTCTCACCAACACCGGGCCGTATTCTTCCCCGGCAGGCAGACTGCCCAACACCTGGCCCCTGTACAGTACGCAGATTCCACCCATGGTCAACTACTCTATGGAGGGTAGAACGTACCGCTACTTCAGGGGCGATCCCTTGTACCCGTTCGGCTATGGCCTCTCCTACACCCAGTTCAATTTCTCTAATCTGATCTACAACACAACAATCAAGGCAGGAGCTAGTCTGAGTGTCCAGGTGGACATTACAAATGTGGGTGACGTTGATGGCGAAGAGGTTCTCCAATGTTACATCAGCTGGAATGACAAGTCCTTGTCCGTACCACAACTACAGTTGGCCTACTTCGACCGGATCCTCATAGCCTCCAAGCAAACGATCTCAAGGAGTTTGTCTATATTTTCGGAGTCCATGGCGTTTTGGCAAGATGGGAAATGGGTAATTAAAGCTGGTGGGATGAGTCTGTTCTGTGGTGGTCAACAGCCAAATCAGAAGAAACAGGTGCCTTCCAACGTCCTCTCTGGAACTTTTACAATCACAGACTCTATCGCTCTTGAAAAGTAATATTTATCAATTTCAAGTGCCTTTACACAAGTGTCTTTATGTGTGTATGTGTGTGTGTGTGTATGTGTGTGTGTGTGTGTGTGTGTATGTGTGTGTGTGTGTGTGTGTGTGTGTGTGTGTGTGTGTGTGTGTGTGTGTGTGTGTGTGTGTGCGTAGTGTAGAGTGTACGCTTGTGTTGTTCGTGAGTGGGTGCTTTTAACAGAAACATGTAATGTGTTGTCTTCATCCAGTTGAACTGTGTGTGAAGTGAATTGTAATCAGAATACTATTATTTTTTACCCAGGGTCACCAGTTTATCATGTGTATAAAAGTCAATATTCTGCAACTGGTTCTGTTATCCCGAATAGATAGACAGATAGAAAGAAAGAAAAAAAGAAAGAAAGAGAGAGAAAGAGAGAGAGGGGAGGGGGGCATCTAGAATGACACACTACACACACACACACACACACACACACACACAGACACACACACATACACACACACACACACACACACACACACACACACACACACACACAGAGGCAGAGAGAGACAGAGAGAGAGAGAGAGAGAGATAGAGAATTAATATAATGTGAGAGAAACAGGAAAAAAGGAAAGAGTGGTGCAGGGGAAGGTAGATGTGTATGACACTAAACTTTTTGTTTTGTCTTTCATATAGGTGGGGCTATTTACCAGAAGATTTATTTTATACAACAGAGGTTTAGAACTTATAGTACTTATTGTTACATTTAATGTTATTTAAACATGTGAATTTAATGCTCAGTAAAACAGAAGGCGAAACAACATCTTTGAAGGGGATTCAACAAGTTGGCGATATTATTTTAAATTGAGCCGTCTTTTCTTTTAATGTGAAATATCTCCATTATGTGATTTTTGTGTGACTGCCCAGACTTTTTATTTGAATTCAACTATGTTTGCGTGTATATCATTTATATAAACAATTTCCTTATATTCTGTGTTGTTTGAGTGTTTCTATGTTAAATGTCTAACCAGGGTTCATTTTTAGCATTAACCCTCTATTATTAAAATTTACTCTCTCGGGTATCATTCTTCTACTATCAACTCGTCCACATTCCTCTTTCTCTCTAGCGCTCTCATAGACTCTCTCTCTCTCTCTCTCTCTCTCTCTCTCTCTGTCTCTCTCTCTTTCTCTCTCTCTCCCTCTCTCTCTTTATATATATATATAAATATCTGTCTGCTTCTGTCTGCTCTGTCAGTCTCCCTCTCCTCTGTCTCTCTCCCTCCCTCCGCCTCCTTTCTCTCTTCTTTTGTATTTGCATGTGTGTGTAATTGTATGTTTGTATGTATGCATGTATGCATGTATGTATGTATGTATGTATGTATGTATGTATGTATGTATGTATGTATGTATGTGTGTACGTATGTATGTATGTATGCATGTATGTATGTATGTAAGTACGTATGTGTGTGTGTGTGTGTGTGTGTGTGTGTGCGTGTGTGTGTGTGTGTGTGTGTGTGTGTGTGTGTGTGTGTGTGCGTTGCCTTGCCGACTGGTGTGGGCGATCATGGACCTTCATTTCACTCTATCTTGCGTTGCAGCGATGGTGTCTGTCATTTTTGCTGCTCCCAGCCATGTTGTCAACTTGTAAAGTATATTTTCCCTCTATCTGTCTCTGCCTCTCTTTTCATCAAACTTGCCTGTTGTTACAATATTCTACAATGCTTTTTTCAGCATTGTGTGTCCGTGTTCCCATTCTGAGGTCAACACCCAAGACCAAGACTTAGGCCTACTGTAATAGCTTGTTCACTCTCATCTGTTATTAATATATATGGCAATGCCTTCCTCACATAACTTTGCATGACACTCCTGTAGGCATTTGAGAAAAGATCGAGAAAAGGTTGAGGGGTGTATGGCCAAAAAACCCCTAAACAACAACAAACACGTTCCTTCAAGTGCAGGTGACTAGTTTTTATTTGTCTGACCCAGGACTCTATTGTACAACACATTATATCATCGACCTTGGTTGGCAGTAATGTGAAGCTGATTCAACAGTAGCTTTTTTCCTCTGTTATCTTAGTATGCAGCGCAATTGGCATGAGTGCTTGAACTTTTTTTTACCTTAGTATCTTTAAGTCGGCGCTCTGCAATACAAATCTTTAAGGCCACATGGCTTTGTAGACATGCTTTTTATATCCAAAATTTAAGTTAATCTTCCTACGTTCTCATTTAAACAAGTATGCAGGACGAAAAATATGCAAAAAAAGAGTTCAATTTATCAGATCAAGCACAGCAAACTGCTTGACCTGTCGACTGTTTTTGTTCACATCAGCTACTTAATGTCGTGCAGTCACCGCACATTATTAGTTTGGCACAAGATTTGCTTTCGTAAAGAGGTCGGTATGTACATTTTTCCCTCCATTATACTTAAATCTAGAAGAAACCGGTTTACGTACCTCCAAGGCCAATCTTACAAATAGGTTTGAAGTGTGTTTTTTCATAAAAAAACAAGACTTACAAAGGTTTGAGACGCCACAATGTGAAATCTCCAGATAAACAATTTCGTCAAGAGGACAGTCATCATCAGAGTTTGGATTTTCAGCTTTGAGAGTTAAAGACTGGTGTTGAGTTAGTTTCCAAACACCCCAAAAGAAAGTGACGGGGACTGTTTTGTTACAGGAAAGATGAAGCTGGTAATGACGTATGTATGTTGTATAGTAGTATCTGAACTGGCTGGAGGGGAGGTTTCCAAAAGATAGTAGCGTACGTGTATAAGTTTAACACCTCTCCCAGCACTAGTAGGTTATTTATGAGGCCGGACCTGCGAATTTAAAGTCTTCTCTCCGATAGGGTGGTGCGAAATGGGCTGAGAGGTCCGAAAACGCCACAAGAGATCATAATTCCAAAACAGCCACTCAGGGATTCGAACCAGGGCCACCCACACAATATTCCAGCTTGATACTACGGAGCTTCCTAACAGAATATGTTGATCACCATCTGCAATCTGCATAAAATCCTTAACACAGTACGCATCCATAGATAATTCTATGAACTTTTGGTCAGGAGGCTATAGGTAATTGTAACAATAACATTTTCAAGAGTGTGAATTATACTTTGAGAAGTTTACCATAAATCAGTAGTACATCCCCATCATCAAATCACACATTAAACATATATGACGAGAATTGTTGTTTCTTTCTGGTCGGATACAAACCATTGTTTTTTGTGATCACTTAAAGCAAAGAAATACACATTCAGAGTTAAACTTTGGAATAAATTTATAACTTTTATCAAAAGTATCCCCCGAAAGTCGTTTTTTTTATTAAGATGGCGTAAATAATCGTTGCTCCTTGGGATTAACTTAACGGCGGATATATATATGCCTGTTTTGAGAATTTTACACGAAACTTCTTTTTTTTATGCCCCCACCCTCGTGCAAGATCTCAGGGGTAGCCGACTGCTGGTTCTTCAACCTGCAGTGCAACTGATTTTTACGTATCTGAAGGTGACCGTTTTTCCTACTTCGTAGAGCCCCTTGCCACCAGGCAGCCACATTCCGATTTCGAAGGTACTCTAATATTCTGTACTGACTAAAGTATTTTCAGTTTTGGTAGGAACTTTGAATTTTGCTCGAGAGTTGGTTGAAACCTACCCTTATTGATGTTAGAATCACCAACGATTCTTTTGCGAGCACAACTTTCACCCTTATCCAGGGTGTTAGAGCTTACCTATTCTAAAATCAGAAGTAATAAAGAACCAGGAAAACAGTAGAAAGAGTAAAAAATAAAGGGGAGGGGAGCCCAGAGGAAGACGGA